GTAGATGGGCCTAGAGCTGCTCCCTGAACTTGTTGATCCGAGCTTGGAGAGGGCATCCGCCCATGCGTTGAGGGCGTGGGGAAGTTGGGCTATCTTGAAGTCAATGAAGTTGACTAATAGCTACTTAGCCACTTTCAGGTACATGATCATTCTTCAATCTTTTGCCGTGAATTGCCCATTCACTTGATGGACGATAAGTAGGAGTCGGCCAATATGTAGAGACGCTTAGCTTTTAGCGCTAGGGTTGCCCGAAGACCAGCCATGAGAGTTTCATATTCGGCCTCATTGTTTGAGGCCTAAAAACAAAAAAACAATGGAGTGCTCGTGCGTCGACCCGTCTGGGCTGCGTAGGAACACTCCACCTCCGTTGTCGGCTTCTCCGAAGGATCCGTGCACCTTCAATAGCCTCCAAGAGGCGAACTCTGATGAATCATATGCTAGGGTGCGACGGGTCTGTGGGGCAGACGCTTGGACTGCTGGAGGCGTTGGAGCCTCCTGCCTGGCGAAGTCGACTCGATGAGGAAGTCAGCCAATGCTTGAACTTTAATCATTGTCCTTGGCTCGAACTGCACACCATGCTCGCTGAGTTTGACTGACCAAACGACCATTTTTCCAGAGGTTGTGGGACTGCCAAGTGTTTTCTTTAGGGGCAGATTTGTCTGCACAATTATTGAATGAGCTTGGAAGTAGGGGCGGAGCCTCCTTGCGGTGGTGATGAGGATGAATGTAGCCTTCTCTATAAGAGAATAGTTGAGCTCGCTCGCTTTCAGGATCTGGCTGACATAGTACACGGGCTTCTGGATGTTCTCTTCCTCTAGAATTAGAATGGAGCTGACAGTTCTAGGGGAGATGGCCAAGTATAGGTACAAAGTTTCCCATCATATGGGCTGTCTCAGCAGGGGCTTGGTGCTCAAGTATGCCTTGAGGTCTTAAAAAGCCGCGCTGCATTCGGCTACCCAGCTCATGTTCTTCTTCAGCTCCTTGCTTCCCCTTAATGTCTTGAAGAATGGAAGGCTCCTCTCGGCAGATTTGGTGAGGAAACGACACAATACCACTATCTTCCCGTTCAGTTCTTGGACATCCTTCAATGTGCGGGGTTCGGGTAGTCGCTCTATAGCGACTATCTTCTTCGGATTGATTTCGATGCCCCTCTAGGTTATCATGAACCCAAGAAACTTCCTTGATTGTACCCCAAAGACGCACTTGATTAGATTGAGCTTCATGCGGTGGTGTCGGAGAACAAAGAATGTCTTTTCCAAATCTGATATGTGGGTCGACGCCTGTCTTGACTTCACCAGGAGGTCATCCACATAGGCCTCTAGATTACAGTCGAACTTGTTGACAAGCTCTAATAGGTGGCCCCAGCGTTCTTGAGACTTAACAACATCATCCTGTAGCAATAGGTTCCCTGGTCAGTGATGAAAGAGGTATTCTTCTGATCATAAGGTTTTAAATATCAGTTATCGGGGATTTATCAGACGGCCAAAATCCTTATCGGATAGCGGAAATCGGGGATATATTGGGGATAAGTAGTATTTATCGGATGATATACTGGATGATGTGTATATATAATATAACAATTAAAAAATATAATCTAATCATGCTTAATGAAATATAAACATACCAAAATGTAAATCATCATGTTTGGAATCATTTACCAATTGTAGAAGCGAAACTTGCATCATAGCCTTGAAAAAAATATAATGTTAGTCAAAATTAGCCGATAATCCCGATAAAAAAGTCTTACTTATCGGCCGATAAGTGCCGATAACGTCGATAAATCGCCGATAAACCTAGAAAAACGATAACCGATTAAAAATCCAATTTATCCTAGCGGAGAGCTCCCAAATCCGATAACTCGGACGATAATATCGATTATCGGCCGATATTTAAAACAGTGTCTGATCATGTTTCGCCATGAAGATTTAGTTGTAGCCGGAGAAGGCGTCCATGAAGCTGGGCAACCCATGTCCAGCACTCTCGTCAACCAATTGATATGAGGGAGGGGGTAGTTATTTTTGGGACATGCTTTGTTGAGGTCAATGAAGTCTACGCACATTCTTCATTTGTTGAGAGCCTTTTTCACTAACACAATGTTGGCCAGCCATTTCGGGTGCTGTATTTCCCTAATGAAACCATGTCTAAGGAGTCGTTCAACTTCATCAGCGGCCACCTTCTGTCTCTCAGGGCCGAGATGTCTATTCTTCTGTGAAACCGGCTTGGTGTGCCGGTCGACTGTCAGCTCGTGGCTTATCACGTCGGAGGGATCCCTGGCATATCTTCGGGTACCCAGGCAAATATGTCAGTGTTCGTCAGCAAAAACTCAATCAAAGTTCCCAGTAAGGACTCTACGAGGCTGAAACCGATCTTGACCGTCTTCTTGCCTTCTCGATCAATCGGTACTTCCTGCAGCTCTTCCACTGGAGTCGTTCTCTGGCACTCTATTACCTTCTCCATCTGGAGGCAGACCTTCTCAATAAGCATGGTCTCTTGCACCCCCTTGCCCTAGTCGAGAGCAGGTAGCAGGACATGGCCTCTCTTTAGTTGCTCCTGGCGACTCTGACTCAATTATTAGTCAGGAACTTCAGCATCTGGTGATATGTGGGAAGGATGGCCCGTAAGCGGTGGATGGTGGTTCGGCCTAAGATGACATTATGGGTTGATTTGAGGTTCATCACCAAGAACTAGACTTGGATAGTGGACTGTTGGGGGTATTCTTCGACCGTCAGGGGGAGAGTGATCATCCCTTCGGGCAGGTTATGATGTCTGGTGAATCCGATGAGGGGGCTCTTACATGGCTGCAGTCGGGACTTGTCAATGCCCATCTGGTTGAAGGCGTCGATATACAAGACATCCACGAAGCTCCCTGTGTCGACTATGATTCTCTTCACCTAGAAACTATCTATCTTTGTCGTTATGATGATAGGGTTATCATGGGGTGTCTCAACATCCTTCAGGTCGGCGTCACTGAAGGAGGTGAGTTCTTCCAATCTCGAATTTTTTGTCGCACACATCGACTCGCAATGCTCGCTTAGCGTACCTCTTCTGAGTGTTGTTGAATGACCCTCCTGCTGTGGGGCCGCCGCTAATAGTATTGATGACCCCCCTTATGACTGGCCTCGAGGGGTCGACTGTCCTGCTGTGGTCGGGGGTAAGGTGATCGCGAAGGAGACTTCCTGTCGGCCTTGGCTGGGGCGGCTTCTCTTCTGTCTCTCTGCGAGACAAGCTTCTTCAGATACCCCTTTGTATCAGGTCTTCTATGTCCCTCTGTAGTATCTGTCAATCATTGGTGAGATCGTCGTGATCCCTATGGTATCTACAGTATTGCCTAGTATCTCTGCTCCGAGAATCCGACCTCATCTTGGGAGGGGGCTCATTAAGGTGTCCCTCCTTCCAGATCATGTTGAGGGTTTCGCCTAGAAAGGTGTTGAGAACCGTGAGAGCGGGTCTGGGCGCCGACTCCCTCCTTCTGTCCCTCCTGTCGGACTGATTGGAGCGGAAGTCGACTCTCGGAGGTCTCTCTGCTACTCTTGCCTTGCTGGGAGGCCCCTAGTTGGCTCTGGTGTCG